AGACTCAGGAACTTTCATCATTCCCAGGGCTGGAAGCCTCATGTCTGACCCAAATTCTTCTTATTGTTTAATCAAAATCTTCCTGCATACCAGGGTTGCCAGACAGCAAATGAAAATACAGAATGCATGTTGAAGTTTGAATTTTAGATCAATGATGAGTAACTGTGTGTGTGTGTGTGTGTGTGTGTGTGTGTGTGTGTGTGTGTGTGTGTGTGTGTGTGTGTGTGTGTGTGTGCCAGTCCTGGGGCTTGAACTCAGGGTTTGAGCACTGTCCCTAAGCTTCTTTTGCTCAAGGCTAGCATTCTACCACTTGAGCTACAAGGCCACTTCTGGCTTTTTCTGTTTCTGTGGTAGTGAGGAATCGAACCCAGGGCTTCATGTGTGCTAGGCAAGCACGCTACCACTAAGCCACATTCCCAGCCCCAAGTAACTTTTTTCAGTTAAGTATGTCCCATGCAATATTACAAGAAAAGATTACTCAAGGCTGGAGGTGTAACTGAGTAGTAGAGCACAGGCTTAGAATACCCAGAGATTCTGGGTTCTGGCCCCAGAACCCCTGAAAAAACTATTCATTATTCACTCATTCTCTTTTAGTGGACAAACAGGGCCTGTGTATTTCTTTTCAGAAGAGCAACAGCATTTAGGCTGGAGATAGTAGAGCATTTTCTTAGCATGCAGGGCTTGAAAGAGCAAGGGCATTTTTTACAAGTTCTGATCTCAGACTCCTTGGTACTTCCTTTTTGGTCTTTTGGTGGTGCTGAGGGTTAACGCAGAGTCTTACACTTGATAGGCTGGCGCTGTATTGCTGAGCCAGGCCTCCAGCTGTTAGTCACTGGATATTTTTAGGATAGAGTCTGACTTTCTGCATGGGTGCATGCTTAAGCTGTGATTTGCCTGTTTCTGGTCCTTGCTGGAACCACAGGCGTCTACCATTGGAGATGGAATCTTACAGACTTTTCTGCCTCAACTGGCTTGGTCCTACACCCCTCCCTGTCTCAGCCCCCGCATATCCTGGGATGTCAGGCGTGTACCATTGGATTGAGAAAGGATTTTGTGAACTTTTCTACCAAGGCTGACTTCAAACTTCCATTCTCGACCTCCCAATTGACTGGAATTACAAGCATAAGCTGCTGGTGCCCAACTTGCTTTTTTTGTTTGTTTTTGTTTTTGTCAATCCTGAGGCTTAAACTCAGGGCCTGGACAATGTCCCTGAGTTTTTGGCTCAAGGCTAGTGCTCTACCACTTTGAACCATAGGGCTATGTCTCTTTTTTTTAGGTAGTTAATTGGAGATAAGAGTCTCATGGACTTTCCTGCCCAGGCTGCCTTCCTACTGTGATCCTCAGATTTCAGCCTCCTGGGTAGCTAGGATTAGAGCTGTGAGCTACCAATGCTCAGCTGCTTTGGTTACTTTTGAGACAGGATTTCGCTTTGTAACTGGACCAGCCAGGACCACAATCCTCCTATATCTGTTTCTTGTCATAACAGGGATGACAGGAGTATACTACTGTGCCTGGCTTTTATTGGTTGAGATGAGGGGGTCTCACAAAGTTTTTGCTCCAACTCATCTCAAACTGCAGTGCATTTTATCTCAGCCTCCAAATAGAATTAAAGGCATGAGCCATAATGCCTGACTCTTTGTACTCTCAAAAATTGAGGATACTCAGAAGCTTTTGCTATATGAATGAAAAATTAAAACAAAAATTTAAGAAAACATATTAACTAATTTTAAGATAATAGTAATAAGTCATTACATGTTTATATAAACAAACTTTTATTTTTTTGGGGGGACAGGGCTTGAACTCAGGGGCCTGGGCTCTTTTACTTAAAGTAGAACTAGTGTTCTACTTTGAGCCATAGCACCACTTCCAGTTTTCTGGCGGGCTAATTGGAGATAAGAGTCTTATGGATTTTCCTGCCCGGGTTGGCTTTGAACTGCAATCCTCAGATCTCAGCCTCCTGTGTAGCTAGCTAGGATTACAGGTGTGAGCCACCAGTGCCCTGCTTATAGAAACAACTTTAAAAAGAAAAAAATAGCTATATTTTCAAAAAAAAAATAGTGAGAAGAGCAGCACTGTTCCACTTTTTTTTTTTTTTTTTCTGGTTCTAGGCGCTGCCCCTGAGCATTTTTGCTCCAGGCTAGTTCTTTATCACTTGAGCCACAGCGCCACTTCCAGCTGTTTGGTGCTTAATTGGAGAGAAGAGCCTCAGGGACTTTCCTGCCCAGACGGATTTCAAACTGGGATCCTCAGATCTCAGCCTCCTGGGTAGTTAGGATTACAGACGTGAGCCACGGGTACCTGACCCCCTAACTCCCTGTCTTTTTTTTAAATTTTTTAAATTGTGGTTTTAAAAAAACATAACATTTACCATTGCAACTTTTTTTTTGTTTTTGTCGGTCACGGGGCCTGATTCTGGGCCTGGGCGCTGTCCCTCAGCTCTTCAGCTCAAGGCTAGCGTTATACCTCTTAAGCCACAACACCACTTCTGGCTTTTTCTGCTTATGTGGTGCTGAAGAATTGAACCCAAGGCCTCATGTATGCAAGACAAGCACTCTACCACTGAGCCACCTTCCCAGCCCCCCATTGTAACTTTTGACTTTTGGGGTTCTTTTGGGGGGGGGGTGATGGCACTGGAACACAAGACTTTATTGTATAAGATAGGCGCCCACTCTACCACTGAGCTCCACCCCCAGTCCCATTACAACCGTTTTAAGACTAGGATTCAATGGTGTTAAGTAACTTCCCACTATGGCACACAGTTGGAGATTTACACCTCCTACATTCAAACTGTTTCAGTACTACAGAGGACGTGGGTTCTGGAAAACCCCTCTCTAAATTCAGGAGAGAATGAGAGTGAAGTGAAAAAGGCAAACACTGGTTTTATATTCTGGTACTCTGTGTCTCCTTCTGAAAGGATTTGGGGAACCCCAAAGGATTCCTGAGCCCTACTTTGAGAACCACTACTGGAGCACAATACCAGGCTTCCTCAGTAGCAAGTATCCTTTGCCCCTTACATTAATTTAGGGTGGGGCTGTGTGATACCACCCATGCACATAATTGAACACGATTCTAAGATGTTTTTCTTTTTTGGGGGGGGGAGGCTGAGAGAGGGAGTTGGTTCTTTGTTTTGGCGATACTGGGATTTGAACTCAGGGCCTGGCACTTGTTAAGCAGGCATTCTACCACTGAGCCTCCAGCCCTATTCATTTTTTATGTTTTAGTTTTGAGATAAGAGTCTCAAGAACTTTGTTGCCCAGCCTGCGGTTGAACTGTGATCCTCCGGATCTTATCCTGCTCAGTAGCTTGGAATACAGGCACAAGCCACCAGTACCCAGCTCCGAGCTAGTTCTTATTTCTGAGGTAGGTAGTGGGGACTGGGGCAGGCAGAAGCTGAGTCTTGCTTAGAACCATAGTGGAAATGGAGGAGTGGATCCAGAGAGACTGTGCAAGAGGCCTGGGGCACGTGTGGTAGGGTGGTTGAAGCTGACTCAGCACAGCAGTTCTGCCTTACCTACAGGATTTAAGAGGCATGAAGTGACAGCCACCTCCTTCAGACAGAGAGAAGGCAGAATGGCCAAAGTCACAGGTAGAGCTCTGACTCCAGGGAACAAGGCCAAGGCTGGCCGTCCCACTCTCCCACCGGGACTGGAGAGGGAGGGGAGTGAGCCAGCTCTACCCTTGTTCCAGCTTGCATTGCAGTAGCCAGCACATCCTGGTTACGAAGGATGCTGGCCCTCATATCTCATTAGGCCTGCCCTCGGTGTCCGCATTCAGCGAGGGCAGCTCATTCCTTGATTGATTGATCCGGGGACCCAATAGTAGTTACTAAAAACAGCCAGGCCTCGGTGGCTCACCCCTGGAATCCTAGCTACTCTGGAGGCTGTAATTTGCAGAATTATGGTTGGAGGCCAGCCTGGGCACAGAAGTCTGCCAGTTTCCATCTCCAAAATAACCAGCAAAAAGTTGAGCTGGAGGTGTGGTGGTAGAATGCCAAACTGGAAAAGCAAGAGGCTGAGCATGGGCCAAGCCCGGAGTTCAAATCCCAGTACTGGAGAAAAAAAAAAAAAGGAAAATGAAAAAAGGAAGGAAGGGGGCTGGGAAGGTGGCTCAGTGGTAGAGCGCTTGCCTTGCATGCATGAGGCCCTGGGTTCGATTCCTCAGCACCACATAAGCAGAAAAAGCTGGAAGTGGTGCTGTGGCTCAAGTCGTAGAGCGCTAGCCTTGAGCTGAAGAGCTGAGGAACAGCGCCCAGGCTCAGAGTTCAGGCCCCATGTCCAGCAAAAAAAAAAAAAAAAAGAAAAGAAAAGAAAAAAGGAAGGAAGGAAGGTGCTGATAGTTCACACCTGTATGTAATCTTGGCTACTCAGGTAACTGAGATCTGAGGATCCCAGGTTAAAGCCAGCCCAGGCAGGAAAGTCCATGAGACTTTTATCTCCAATTAACCACCTAGCAGGTCAGAAGTAGAAGTATTGCTCACGTGGTACAGTGTCAGCCTTGAGCTAAAAAAGCTAAAGGATAGCACCCAGGCTGTGAGTTCAAGACCCAGAACCAACACAAAAAAAGAAAAAGAAAAAAAAATGAAGAGAGAAAAATAAAGAGAAAAGGAAAGAAGGAAGGGAGGAAGGAAGGAGGGCCAGTGGTCTTGCTTATGTCCACACGGCGGTCCTCTGCCTCCCCTTTCCCGCCCCCGCCCCCCAGCAGGACTGGTACACCCTCCTCCATGCTAACCATCCAGTCCCACCCCTGAGCACACGCACGCCTGGGCTGTTAGCGATCCTGTAGGTGGTAGTTTATAGCTCCAACTGTGTTATCTATAAATTCCTTGAGCCAGGGGCCCATCCCTTAATTGCACCTCTATTTTTCTATGGCTCCAAGAACAATAGAAAGTTCTCAGTGAATGCTGATGGCTTTATTAGGGACTGAGTTTTCATGGCTTCGCGGTCAGATTCATTTTACAGGGGCCGGGGGCCAGGAGAGCAGGTGGAGGCTGTTTACGAGATCTTTATGGAGTTGGAGAGCTAGAGCTTACCAACTCCGGGTGTTGTCTTCTTTAACGCTTGTGGACTGAAAGTGACTCGAAGACGTTGTGACCTGTTCCACGAAAGAAAGCAGGTGCTAACCCTGAGAGACTGGCTCTATGCTGCTCGCTGTGTGCTACAGAGCTGTGCTGGGGCAGCGTGTGCCCACCTGGTATAACCTGATGGAGAGCGGCTAGCACCCCCATGTGGACCATTTGTCTACTTCTCCCCACCTAGCTTCCATGCAGCCCAGGGGGCTTTTCCACTGATCGTGGTCCGTGGAATTGCTACTGGCAGTGAACGTGTTCATCAAGTACCTGATTGGCTTGGCAGCTGCCATGGGGCTCACTGTGAATCAATGTGAGGCTCTGTGGACAGTCACCAACCAGGCTCTCCCTTACCTGGCTTCTGCGATGGCCTCGCCATTCAGTGAACCACAAGGCCCAGACAGTGGCTGCCTGTGGAGTTGCTCCTAAGCAGAGACTTACCAGATGGCCACAACACGGCTGGGGCTGAGCTGGGATTCAGACTAGGGTCCTAGATAGTGTCTTTGCAGGCCAGACTAGAAAGCCAGGCAGAATCCATGGGAACTTAGTCATTGAAAGCTGTTCTCTACCTGGGTAGTCGTGTGGTTTGCTACAATAGCTAAGCACCCCAGAGTCTGGGACCCAGGTCTATGAAGCCAGAGTTCCCATTCTGATCCTGGGAATCAGAAGGTGAGGAAGAGGAGAAGGAAGGACTCCTAATGAACCATCGAGGCTCCATGAGGAGTCTCCAGAAGGAAGGAAGCCTCGTTCTTGGGTACTCAGACAAAAAATTTAAAAAAAAATATCCTCAGCCAGGCACTGGTTGCTCACGCCTGTAACCCTAGCTACTCAGGAGGGTGAGATTTGGGGATCATAGTTCAAAGCCAGAGCAGGCAGAAAAGTCTGTGAGACTCTTATCTCCAATAAATTACAAGGAGAAAAAAAGAAAAAAAAAGGAGGGCCAGAAGTAGAGCTGTAGCTAAAGTGGTAGATTGCTAGCCTTGAGGAAAGAATCTCAGGGATAGTGCCCAGGCCCTGAGTTCAAGTCCCAGTACCAGCCAAAAAAAAAAAAAAAGGCTGGTGACTCATGCCTATAATCCTATCTACTCAGGAGGCTGAGATCTGAGGATAGATTAAAAGCCAACCCCGGGCAGGAAAGTCTCTTCTCGAATTAACACCAGAAAACCGGAAGTGGCACTATGGCTCAAGTAGTAGACACTAGCCTGGAGCTAAAGAGCTGAGGGACAACACCCAGGCCCAGAGTTCAAGCCCCATGACCAGGAAAAAAAAATTGAGGACACCTCTTGGTAGAATCCAAGAAAATATATTAGTAAATCAAAGCAATGAAAGACTAGAATGAACACAGTCCTGAGTCCAGCTACCTCTGTGTGCTCTAACATCACTGGGAATAATGATGGAAAAGTAGAGTAGGGGTTTGATTCTAATTCACCCTAGGACAGAGTGCCCGCCCCCTTTGGTCTGATACCTGGATGTATTTGGTCATTCATGCTGTTACATAGTTTTATTGAGATTTCAAGGCCTGGCCTGGTTACTAAAATTGAGACCTAGTGACATAGATGCTCAAGCATCTCTTTAAACAAAGGATCGCTACTACCAGATGTCCCTTGAGGATGAATGTTCGTCCTTGACATAAATATTTGTAACGTTCTGATGATCAAATGAGTCATCTTCCCATGCTTTCCACCCTGCCCCCAGTTCGTGTCTTTTTAAGAATTTCTTCTTAATATCTCAGAATGCACTAAGCAGGAAGGTCAGAAGAGACCTCCTGCCCCCCCTCCCCATACACACACTTTATTTTCTCTTTACTAAATATTGCTGGGTTTTTATTTTTGTTTGTTTTTATTTTTGTTTTGCGGAGGTGTAAAGCTTAAAGCAAGGAAAAAAGTGCCGGCGTGCTTATAATCAATCCTATCAAGCTTATAATCATTAAGACGATGTCGGTCTCTGTTACCCACACTCATTTGCTCAGATCTGTTCCTGGCATGGTTGGACATCTTACACCAGAATTCGCCTCTAGAGCTGGGAAAATCCAGGGGGCAGCGTCTTGTTTATCAGGGAAGCTGAGTCAGACCAGGCTACCTTCTAAAAAGCTATTTCTAGAATTCTACCCGGTCAAAGCCGGGCCCCAGACTCCTTTCTCTTCCCAGGGGAATTCCTTTGATGGGGGGAGGGAGGAGGGAGAGAGGGCAGAGGGCAGAGGGTAGAGATAGTGACTGTCCTAAGATCGAAACCCAAACGCTGTGACTTTTGCCCATTTATGGACTTGAAGCCCCCTCCCCCACCCGCCCACTAGGCTGACTTGTTTCCCCCAGCTTGCCCTCAGTGCCCCTGGAGAGGGTAAGGGAGAAAACTGAGAAGGTGGGCTTAGCCCAGGGAGGGGTCTGGTGTCTGGGAAGAGAAAAGACCACTAGAAGGAATGGGGGACAGGAGGATTTCAGAACCAAAAGGAGACAGAAGGAGCTAGAAAGGAAGTGTACCATCCCCCTCCACCGTCTCCCCCCCCCCCCAGCCCCAGAAGTAGCCTGTCCCTCAGAAGCAGCAGCTCCCTAGGGGCCTTTACCATAAGCACTTTTCCAACTTGACTGAGGCCAGGGCCTGATCTGGTCCCATTCAGGGTTCTGGTCCCAATATATAATTTGTGCATGGTGTTGGCAATGTGCAAACCTAGGGTTTCAGGGTTGGTGAGTCTTATCAAGTCTTGTGCAGAAAGGGAAACTGAGTCTCAGGAAAGTTAAACTATATGAAGGACTCTTCTCCCAACTTGCCTCTCCCATTCCTAAGAGAAAGCCTATCAGGAAGAGAAAGCAGATGTGACCCAGGTTAAAAGAACAAAGAACAACAACAAGAAAAAAAAAACCCCAAAACCCACGTGTCCATGGCTCCCACAAAGCCGTGTCACCCAAGCTTTTGTGAGCAACTGATGGATACGCTTTGGAAAGAACCTTCGTTCTGTTTAGTTCCCTTCTGGCATCTTACAGCAGGGAGCCTGTCAGAGGTTGATTTCCCACTAAAGAAAACAAATTCCTAGCAGTAACTCCCAGATCTCTAGCTCAACCCAACTCTTTCCCAAGGCCCCCAGCCCAAGTGAACCCCAGTTCCACACATCTTACCTGCTAACCTTCCCTCTCCACTTGATCCTTCCAGCTCTTCTTCTCCATCCCCTGGTGCAAGTCTATTCTCTTTCTTTCCCATGTTGACACACTATCAGTCAGGAAAGTCTTCCTTCAAATATGGCCCAAATGGGACAACATCCCATTTCTTTACCGCTACAACTAACCCTACTGGAGTTTGAGAGGTGTACAAGTCAAAGCACCCATTTTCTCTTTCCAGAATTGGCCTCTTAATAAATCCTTGCTCACCTTCCCTTAGCAAACAGACAGACAGAGGGATCCCCCCCCCCCCAATTCTAAGCTATGTCATAGCTTTGCTCAAAACCTCCTCTGTTCTTTCAGGCCCTGACATGGGTGGCAGGGCCCCACATAATCGACTTTTCTCTCCCTCTTATTTCTTCTGACTGTATCTTCTGCTAGTCTCCTGTTTCACCGTGCCGCTACCTTCACTGGCTGTTCCAGAACCTGCTTCCACAAGGATAGAGGTTTCTGTGTTTTGTTCACAGATGTGTTTGCACAGCGCACAGTGTCCATTGTCGACCTGAAGTAAATAAATATTTATATTGAGTTGAATAAACGCATTGTATAGATGATTGTTTATCAAGCTGAGTCCTGAGTCTCTGAGGCCCCGGCGCAGGGTTTTCTTGGACCTGCTCCTGCTCCTGCCTGAGGCCTATAGAGCTATTCTCTTTTTTAGAAAACCACCCTGTCCTCTATGATGTTCCTACCTCCACCTCTTCTCCTGCTTTAAAAATGCCCAGGCTCAGCAGGCAGTTCTTTGTCCTGGGTCATTCAGGAGGTCAAGACTCCTCTGGCAGTCAGTCACTCCATGGGAGCTGAGCAGTGCGATTTGCTGGGAACTGCTGCTCCTTTTATTTTATTTTTTCCTTCAGGACAGTGCCAGGGAACTAGCTGGATGGGGCAGAGGGAGACGAAGTGAAGGGACTCTCTCTCTCTCTCTTTCCTTTTCTTTCCTTCTTTCTTTCTTACTTTCTTTTTTTCTCTCTTCTTTCCCTCCCTCTTCTTTCTTTTTTTCTCCCTTCCTTCCTTCCTTCTTTCCTTCCTTTCTTCCTTCCTTCCTTGCTTTTTTTCTTTCTTTCCTTCCTTCCTTCTTTCTCTCTCTTCTCTCCCTCCCTCCTTCTTTCTCTCCTTCCCTTCCCCTTCCTCCCTCCCTCACCCCCTCTTTCTTTCTTTGGCTTGAAATCAGGCCTGAGCATTGTCCCTTCACTTTTTCCACTCAGGACTGGCACACTTCCACCACCAGTTTTTTTTGGTGGTTAATTGGAGATAAGAATCTCTCAGATTTATCAGCTCAGGCTGCCTTCCAGCCATGATCCTCAGATCTCAGCCTCTTGAGTAGCTAGGATTGCAGCTGTGAGCCCCAGGCTCCCATCCTCAGTCTCCCTCCTGGCACAGAGCGGCCTACCGAGGGGGTTTCCAGCCAGGAACAGCATGGTCCTGCCTCAGGAAAGCGCTGAGACTGGTGTTCAGGAGGCCTTTCCTATCTCGCCATTGTTGTCTGGGTGATCCACATTCCGGAAGCACTGATGTGGCACTAAATATTCCTGCGGCTCCCCTGGGGGCCCAGCGTCATCTCTGAGCCAGCTTTCTGGAATGTTTCTTGGTCTGAAGTGTCCCGCAGGTGAGGGGGAGGGCTGTGCTGATGGAATCCACGGCCCCATGTCTTGGGCCCTTTGGGGCTAAGATAGTAGAACTCTTCCTCCCACTTAGAGTCTCCTGGGACAGGGAACTTCCCCTCATCCTCTCCCATCAGCCCCCTCTCCCCCCCCCCCCCACCTGCCCACGTCCTGGCTTCCACGTGAAGCAAGACTAAACTTTTAGTTCTAAACACTTGTGTTTGGTGCTTCTTCTAGGAAAGCTTATTTGCGGAGATGGTGCTGAGGTTACAGCTGCGGGGGGGGGGGGGGGGGCTGGGTCCTCTCCCTGTGCGATTCCACACCTCAGGTCCTCTCCTCGATAACCTCCCCTTTCCCCCCTCTGTAACACCTGCTCCGCTTCTTCTTTCCTAGCTCCTTTATTTATTTTTGCAATCTTTTGTTGTGGAGACAAGCCTCTTATGTACCCCAGGCTAGCCTGAAACCCTCTATCTGTTCCCCAACAGTCATCAAACTTGCAATCCAGCCAGTGCAAGTGGCTCACACCTGTAATCCTACTGCTATGGAAGCTGAGATTTGAGGAACACAGTTCAAAGCCAGCCCAAGGCAGGAAGGTCTAGGAGACTCTTATCTCCAAGGAACCACGGGAAAAAAACGTTGGAAGTGAAGCTGTGGCTCAAGTAGTAGAGGGCTAGCCTTGAACACAAAAAGGCTTAGGGACAGTACTCAGAAAAAAAAGATTAATTAATTTAAACAAACAACCAAACAAACCAAAACCCAACAACCTTGCAATCCTCCTGCCTCTGCTTCCCGAGGGAGGGCTGGGACTACAGGTATGAACATAGAGCTCTTTAGGGTTTGTGGAAGCCAGGAGAGGGCGATTCCAGTGGTAGGCATTGTTATGCTTTGTGCAAAGAGCCTGACATGTAATAGATTCTCGATAAATATGTGCTGTTTTGTTTGCTTCGATTCTTTCCCCCAATTCTCCAAACCCAATCCATTTCAAATGAGTCTCCCAGGCCCACAGGACTTGTCCCCAGACCTGGGTTTGAAGTCTATTTTTCTTACTTGCCAGCTAATGTTGTTCAATCTGTTTCTCTTGCAAAATGAGAATGATGATGTAGCAAGAGCTTGACAATTGCTTTTGCTGAAAAGCACCGATATGGGCCTATAGATGAACAAAAAACTGGCTGGAAAGTGGCTCAGTGGTAGAGTGCTTGCCTTGCATGCATGAGGCCCTGGGTTCAATTCCTCAGCACCACATAAGCAAAAAAGAAAAAAGCCAGAAGTGGCGCTGTGGCTCAAGTGGTAGAGCACTAGCCTTGAGCTGAAGAGCTGAGGGACAGCGCCCAGGCCCAGAGTTCAGGCCCCACGACTGGACCAAAAAAACCCCCAAAAACTGGCTGGAAGCTAGATAGCCCAGCCTGTATCTAGATCCTTTGCCCTTTTCTCCTGCAGTTACTTTGTAGCCCACTTAGAAGACAAGAAGATCAACCTGAAGGAGCTGCAGGACAGCAGACCACCTGCCAGGTGCTCATGATTTTTGTTGTCAAGATTGTTGTTGAACAAGGTTTCACCTGATCAGCCCTGAAACAATGGATGTCAGACCACCTCTGAACATAGCCAGACCTGTTCAGTCTGTTGAAGATCTTCTGTACGCCTTGTTCCTAATCGTTTATTTAAATCTATAGCTCATGTTTGTACTTCAGTGATGGCTGCTGTGTTGTCTTTCTGTCACTACCATGTATTAAATTTCCTTTCTCTGTCCTTTGCCATATCTCTTTATTTGGTGTGTAGGGGTGAGTGGCCAGATCTGACATGTGTAACTCCTGGAATTTGTACCTTCCTGTTTCAGTAAAATAGAACCAAATTGATCGGGCTGAATTAAGACTATGGTATGCATGCAGTGAATTACTATACACAGAAAATGCCTGACTCAAGAGAACTGAACTCCATCAAGTATACAGTGTGGTATATGCCTATAATTTCAGCTACTTGGGAGGTGGAGAGCAGAGCTGAAGTTGAAGGCCAGCACAAACAAAAAGTTAATGAGACCCTATCTCAAAAATGAAGTCAGATTGCATACCAGTGACTTGAGGCTGTAATCCTAACTACTTGGGAGGCAGAGATCAGGAGGATAATGGTTAGAGGCCAGTCTGGGCAAAGAAGTTCAAAGGATTCTATTTCAACAGAAAAAAGCTGGGCGTGGTGGTGTGCACCTATCATCCTAACTATGGATTTTGGTCCAAGCTAGTCTGGGCAAAAAGCAAGACCCTATCTCAAAAAATAATCACAGGGGAAAAAAAATGAGTAGAGGTATAGCTCACCTAGAAAAGCACTTGGCCTAGTGAGTGAGAAGCCCTGAATTCAAACTTTAGTACTGGGGGAAAACCAAACTCCTGTGTGGTATAGGAGCCCCATTCTTACCTCTCAGCTACTTGAGAGGTAAGAGGATTGCAGTTTGAGGTCTACATAGGCAAAGTACAAGACTCTATTGGAAAAGTGGAAGCAAAAGTGGCTGAGGAGGGTGTGGCTCAAGTGGTAGAGTGCCTGAAGCTCTGAGTTCAATCCCTAGTACAGCCCCCCCCCACACACACACACAAGTACTGTCTCCTGCTATTGCTAGCATTCCAGAGGCAGGAAGATTAAGAGTTCAAGGCCACCTTGAGACCCTGAGTAGCAGAGGGTGCTACTCAATGGTAGAGCACTTGCATAGCCTGCACCAGGCTGTAAGGTGTATACCTAACACAGAAATAAAATTGGTGGGTCCTAGTATCTTCTAGAATGCAATTCTTCTTTCTCTTATCCCATGTTAGCTGCATCATTTCTCATTGGATTTGAGTTACTTGTACCACCTTGGTCTCCAGTCTGTAACCTCCTCCCCTGGCCATCTGCAGTGGCCTGTCTGTCTCAGAGCCTAGCACATTAGGATCTGCTGTAGCCCAGTGTAAGAAACAAAGGAGATTAGTTTGTGTGTGTGTTGGGGCACTGTTTCTGGGGTTTGAACTCAGGGCCTGAGGTCCAGGCCTGACTACTGTTCTTGAGAGTGAAGACCCACCTCTGTATTTTTGTGATGCTTCCCATACCCTAGCTCAGAGCTAGGACCTCAGGACACATCTGTCACGCCAAATACCCCAGGTGTCACCAAGGTAATCTCATATTCCCTGTCTCACCTTGACCCCAAAGTGGCCTGGCCCCTCTCAGTCTCTTCCTCAGACTCAGTGACTGCCCCAGCTCTCCAGGTGCAGAGTGGGGTCCAATTCCACCCTGGCGGACTGGAGGATGGCCAGGTGCGCTGTGGAGTAGTTAGCTGGAGCTGGCCAGAACTGGGGAAGTTCAGGGGACTAAATACCAGAGCAGGTCAGGCTTGGGGAGGAAGGCTGCCCGGAGCCAGTGCCCACCAGCTGCCTGCCCGCACTTTGTCCTTAGCCTAGCTGTTTTCATCAGAAGTCCTTTGGGCCCGGGAGTTTCTCAATGGAGCTGGGCAGCGGGAATGCTCTGCAGGGGGGAGAGGGGGCTGGTCTGGAGGGGGGGGAGGGGACATTCCAGGCATTCTTTACTTCCTCTGAGAGCGCAGGCTGAGAAGCAGCCAGGCAACGGAGAAGGGAAAGGAGATTTCTTTAGCGGGAGACAAGAAAGGCTGCCTGGGCATCTTTAAGCAGCGAAGGACAGGGCTACAAGCAGATGGGGGGGGGGCGGTGAGAGAGAGGTGGGGGTGTAGATTATTTGCTAGACCATTTTCTGGGAGGACTATGGGACCTCCACCTGGGCTTTTCTACCCTAGTGCTTTTCAGGGTCAGGCCCTTATAGTCGGTGCAGGTGCACCCCAGAGTTTAAGGACCCCAGAGAGTTTTGTTTTGTTTTTATTGTCGTCTTTGTGTGTGTGTGTGTGTGTTTCTTGGGGCTCCAGCTTGCATGCTAAGCAAGTATTCTGCGACTGAACTCTGCCACTCTGCCTCCAGCCCTTTTGTCCCATTTGGATTAAGCAGTTTCTCTGGATCTCACGCCGGAGTGTGTTAAGAGGAGGCACAAAGTCTTGCCTTCCCCACTCCCCTCCCCCTCCGCGCCCCTGCCCCAAGAGAACAGAAGCTGTTTTTCAATCACCATTCTGCTTTTAATGGAACGGTTCTTTTCTGGTCTGTGGAGCAAAGGGACCTGAGACCCATCTCCAGACAGTGTAAGTGAGCGATGTGAGGGGCTGAGAGGGACCCCCACCCCTGATGAGAGGGGATTATGTGTACATGAGGATGAGACACGGTAGAGGACTTCCCAGAGCTTTCACATTATCGAGAACAATGAGACAGACAGACAAACAGACAGACAGACAGACAGACAGACAGACACACACACACACACACACACACACACACACACACATACAACTGAGAACATTACAAAATAAATAAATACATTCTAGGACCCTTCAAGCCCAGGGAAATAGACACATCCACAGTGTAGACTTGAGGAACAGCTTAGAGGCAGATGCTGGAGAATGTGAGGTCCGGAGGAGTCTGGGCCCCTTGAGATGATGAAATCAAACAGCAGCCAAAGTCTTTTCAAGTCTTAGATCCATAGCAGCAACTCCAGGAGGCTCAGGCCAGGTTTGGAGGATGGAAAGAGGAGGCAGCCTCTGTGAGGTTGCTTCCTTTTACACCCAGAATTCCCCAGGCACCTGAGGCTGCCATATCAATGCTGGGAACTGGGTAAAGACAGGGCTCCACTTTGGCAGAGAATGAGGAGGAAGGGGTGGGGCTTGGATGGCAATAAGCGTAACTCAAGCAGCATAGGCAGCAGGTGCTAATGGCGTAAGCAACCTTTCTAGGTCTCTGTAGCCTTTCATTGGCCCAACCAGGACTCTGGCTGGGCCTTCCTCGGTGCCCCCTGCATCTCTACTCTTTCCCTGAATCCCCTTGCTGGCTCAGTAGGGCTGAAATCCTGAAGCCTTCCACACTTCGTTTGCCTGCTCTCCTGTCCTGCCCTCCCCAGTCCAGGGAAGCCGGCCTGAGGCGCTGGCTCCCCAGGAACTCCAGCAAACCCTGGCTACTTTTGAGCTGGGATGCTGGTCCTGGAGGCAGGGGAGAGAAGCTCTCTCCCTTCAGGGCACAGCCAGTTGCATCTCAGAGCCTGCCCAGACGGGGGCCACAGCTCTGTCCCCCTCAGCTGAGCTTTGAGCAGATCCCCAGTGCCTTCCGGTAAGCTGCGGTCACTTCCTGGCAGTCTGTGAGGGAAAAGCAGCTCTCCCCCAGAGGGTCCCGCCGCCAGCGCCTCAGGCAGCTGCCAGAGTCCTCGGGAAGGGGCTCCTCCAGCCCCAGGAGGTTGTCCACAGATACACAGCCCCGCAGAGGAGTCTCGGGGAGTCTCTCCGGCAAGTCCAGCTGGTCAAAGGACTCAGAGGACAAGATGCTGTCCTCACTCACGGCCCCCGATGGGCGGCTGGCCCGAGGTGGGGGGCGAGGGGAGGCCAGCTGGTCCAGGGAGCCGAAGGTTGGGGGGGCCGGGAGCTCCAAGTTCGTGCGGGAGAACTTGCCGTTGAGTTTGAGAATACCCTTGGGGTGCAGAAGCAGCTCCGAGGCTTCGGGGGGCTTCTGTTCCACGGGGTCCCCACTCACAAACACATCGCCTGCATCCAAGAGCTCACCGGACTCGCTGGGCTCCGGGGAGGAATAGTAGCCAGACTCGCGCTGGCGTGAGTTCTTGAGGATGCCCTTCTTGGGGAGGAGGGGGGCCGTCTGCCCTGGATTGTGGGAAACAACAGGGCCGAGTTCTTGAGGGGCCTCCCGTACCCCCTCGGAGGAGCAAGAGGAAGAGGTGGAGGTGCAGGGCTTCTTTTTGAGGATGCCTTTTGGCAGCTTGAGATTGTTCTTACTAGGGCGAGGAGGGGAGGCGTCCTCGGCGGGGTCCCCCTGCAGAGACTGGGCCATGGCGTTCTCCTTGCGGGACTTCTTGAGCGAATGCTGGCGTTCCAGGCTTGGCACGGCAGCTCCAGGGGCATGCTGCTTGAAGAAGCTGCACACCCTGGCTCCGTTCTCCAGGAGGGGGCGAGAAGAACGGCGGAGCCAGTCAGCCATGGAGGCGCGGGCAGAGTCGCTGCCAGGGTGCCCACTGTCTCGCGGAGTTTCCTGCTCCCCCACACGGGTGGTGTAACCCCAGTTGACCCACCAATGGCTGGCCACATCCTCTAGTGTGGCTCGGCGGGTGGGGTTCACCATTAATAGCCACCGGATAAGGCCACAGGCATCTGGAAGATGAAAGGCAGGGGGCTTCAGTTTGGCAGCCGCGAGCATGGGTACCCCACGGTCCCTCTGCAATGAGATCGCCCTGAGACACTGCTTCCCCCTGGGTCACATAGGTGTGTTGGCTCTGTGGGCTCCATATATGGCCCGGGTCAGCTTCCCAGGCTGGCTTTCCTGGATTGACTGCTTTTGCCTCTGTCCCATGACTCCTTCATGGACCCTCAATTTTACTCCTTTTAAGGAAAGGACTTATGGCTCTCCTATTCTTCTTCCTGCCTGTGATACACATGCGCAGACAAATGAACTCTAAGATGAGCTCAGAGGCAATAGGAAACGACACAACTGTAGCAAAGAGGACCTAAGTTAGACCTAAGGATGCACTTCCCAAGGCTTACTCAAGCATGCCTATGAGGAAGGAAAGAAGGGACATGGCCTCCTTCCTTGGAGGTCCTAGGCCCCGGAGAGATGGCTGTGGAGGGCATCTTAACCAGACACCTCCACACAGACACAAACTACACAACTATCACTCACCAGAGGGTTTGGGTGGCTCCCGGTAGGCTCCGTCACTGATCTGCCTCACTAGCGTCTTATGATCCTGCCCATCGAAGGGCATGGTGCCGTGTACCAGGATGTAAAGTAGGACACCCAGCGACCAGCTGTCCACCTGAGGGAGGAGGGAAGGGTCAGCAAGGTTGCCCATGTGCCTCGGGCTGCAGCCTCATCTCCGACACCAGGGTAAAGGGTACAGCATGGAGAAGTCAGACCAGCGCATCTGAGGACGACTGGGGTGAGTAGGGAAGCTGCAGACAGAGGCGAGGCTCCGAGGGGACTGATGTCAATCGCCTCCCACAGCCACATGCACAGGAGCAGAGCAGTGTTGGGTGGTGGTGGTGACGGATGCCACTGCCCGAGGGTTAGGAGAATGAAAGGGTAAAAAACAAGAGGAGCCAGGAGACCTCAGTTCTAAACCAGTTGCCACTCTTGCCTAGAGGCTTGACAAGGCATCGCTTTTCTTCTTTTTTTTTGAACTCAAGAGCCTGGATGCTGTGCCTGAGCTTCTTTTTACTCAAGGCTAGTGCCCTACCATTCGAGCCACACTACCACCTCTGGCCTTTTCTGACTAGTTTATTGGAGATAAAGAGTCTCATGGACTGCCCAGGCTTGGCTTCAAACTGCAATCTTCAGGTCTCAGCCTCCTGAGTAGCTCGGAGAACGGGTAGGAGCCACTGGTGCGTGGCAAGTCATTGCTTTATGTTAGGGTTGTGTGTGTGTGTGTTTGTGTGTGTGTGCTCTAAAACCAAGAAAGTGAGTAGAAAACTAGCTCCCGTATTGCACAGGATGTAAAGTTAAGACTCTGGCAGGTGGGCAGAGAAAGGCGGCTCACCTCTGGGCCCATGTAGGGCTTCCCGTTGACGATCTCGGGGGAGGCGTAGAGAGGGCTCCCGCAGAACGTCTGTAGGAACTTGCCTTGGTGGTAGAGGTTCGAGAGACCAAAGTCAGCAATCTGCAGGATGGAGACAAATGCAGGACGCACATCACACGGAGGCCTAGGTTGTTCAGCAGCTCTTTGCTGGCCCTTCTGGAACTCCAGACGCCATAGAAAGGGCCTCCTTGACTCCCAGTCCACAGCGGACATGGTTAACACAGCTCAGGCTCTGTGTCAGTGAGGGGTCCCTAGACCCCTTTGTTTATGCTCATGCTGTGGTCTCCACCAGAGATGCTCTTGCACATCCTCCTGATCATGCTTCCTGTGGCTTAAGATCTTGAATCTTTCCTAGGTCTCCCTGAACTTTCTGAATTGGAGAACTTGAGAGGTTCCAACCCCATCTTCTCACTCGGCAGCAGCCCTCCCCTGCCTAACATCAGTAAGAGGTAGAGGTCAGAGCCCTGTTGCTCCCACATCAGAGGGTCATGTGTGCTGAGGGCAGGGAGGGGCAGTTTATGAAACCCTGGCTCCTTTTTTTTTTTTTTTTATGGTTTTATTGTTCTCTTACCAAACAGTTGCCAGGTAAACCCATATGGCCTATGATGGGAGATAGGAAAGTACGGAAGATAGGAAAGTACAGGCTTGTCTTGGCTATGTAGGCTCATTGCTTCTGACCTCCCAGCCTCCCTGGTCAGCATCAAAGAAACTCCACCTGCTCTGGGAAATGTCTGGGTAAGGGGCATAGACTAAGAACTTGGCACCCGGGGTATCTCAGGGCAGAGGGCAGGAACCACTGAGGAGACTTAATCGTGTGTCAGGAAGATTCTGAAGAGGGTTATAACACTGAGTCAACCTCCCCGCTGTCTCCAGGCCAGCCCTGCCTCAGCTGCCTGGTGCTGTCTCCCCCTTCCAACCCTGGGATCTGACGTTATGCCATCTGCATGAACGGCTCCTAACTGCACTAAATCTAATTACTTTAGCCTGACAAGAGGCAGCTACAGAGAATGAGAAGTGGTATCAGGGTACTAGGCTGGTAGGGAAAGGTGCCCAGGGGCCTGAACAGAGGCGTGTGCACACACACGCACACTGGGAGGAGAACTCAGGCCAGTCCGAAGGTTATAAGTGAACACTGACCCTAGATTTAGATTCCTCATTAGCTTCCTGACAGGAAAAGAGCACTGGTCCTAGAGGTAAAGACCTTGATTGAGGTGACTTTGTGTCTGTCACCCCCTCCTCTTGAGGCCATAAAGGAAGTGTTGGAATGGACAATGACCCAGGTCCCTGTGAGTACCAGTAACAGAAGTCTGAGCTTTGCTAACTCCTTCAGGGACCCACTAAGTACCTGGCTGGAGATTGTGTAAAAAAGTTAGAAAGTATGACAGGGGAAGGTTCTAGAAACCAAAAATGTGGCTCACCTTGATGTTTCCATTGGCGTCTAAGAGGATGTTCTCTAGCTTGAGATCACGGTGGACAATCCCATTCTGAAAGAAGGAGGTATTCAAGTAAATGGAAAACACACACACACACACACACACACACACACACACACACACACACACACACACACACAATATATAATGCACAAAAGGCCTGGCTTCTTCCATCCCTGGCTGAGCGACTCAAAGCCAGACATGCTAACATTTCCTGACTTGAGAATCTAGAAGTCATTCTGTCTTTCTGTGCGATGTTGGACAAGTCATGGCCTCTCTGGGGACCAAACCAACCCCCCCGCCCCCAAGTCTCAGGAACTACCCGCTCAGAACTTGGTGGGGGCAGTGGGGAGAGAGTGCTTACCTGGTGACAGTAGTATACAGCGGAGACGATCTGCCGGAAGAAATGCCGGGCGTCGCGCTCACTCAGACGCTGCCGCTCGCTGATATAGTCATACAGGTCTCCCCGGCTGGCATATTCCATGACAATCACGATCTTGCTACTGTTCTCAAACACTAGATAGAACAAGGCAGGACAGTGAGGACCTCCCAGAATGCACTGCTCCCACTGGAGGCCACACCACATCCTTGTTCCCGCCCCCACCAGAGAGGAACTCTCTCCAGAAATGTCTACTAACAGGGAGCATGGTGGTGAGAAGGGGCTTGAAACACTCAGCATCTACAGGAGCAACAAACACAGATCAAGGGCAGTGGCCAAGGACAGGCTTTGGAGGACTCTAAAAAGTACCCTGCAAACTCCCAAGCAGCTATGGCTGATGGGAATGAAAGGTCAGGCCCCTAGATGCAGAACTCAAGACTATTTCACAATCTGTTTTGAAATCTTGGTCAAATCTCTTTCAGATATATCAGTAAGACTCTGCAGGCTTATTAGATAATCAGAACTCAAGACTGTTTCAAAATCTATTTGAAATCTTGGTCAAAACTCTTTCAGATATATCAGTAAGATTCTAGGTTTATTGGATAAACTTGGACAAGTTCTTCAACCACTATGCAGTATCCTTATTTGAGAAGTAAGAGAATCACAACAACCTCACAGGGCTGGACTGAGGAACAGGTTAAAAGTCTATGATAGCTCTGGGTTTGTCTGAGCAAGCTGGCATAGTGTCTGACATATAAAGAAGCACTTGATGTTGAACACCAGAGGCTCACGCCTGCAATCCTAGCTACTCAGGAGGCTGAGATCTGGTATAATTCAAAGCCAGCTGAGGCAGGAAGATCCATGAGATTCATCTACTAACCAGCAAAAAGTTAGAAGTGAAACTTTGGCTCAAGTAGTATAGCACTAGCCTTGAGTAAAAAGCTAAGGGATGGGGCCCAGGCTCTAAGTTCAAGCCTTTGTACTAGCACTAGCACTAGCACTACCACCACCACTACTACCAACAACAACAACAAAAAACCCTCCCACTAACAAAACACTTAAAAAGAAATGGACCCTACTGTTTATTATCAGTATCTTCATGAATAAATTTGAAAAATAATGAAAATAACACTGTCTCTCCTGAGGATCAGAAGAGGGTTAAAAGCCTACACAAGTGGACTGTGAATGCTGTGGTATGGAGGAGAGCAGAGACGTCCATCACTGCCATTGTCTTTGACATCCCATCCAAAGTACACGGGCTAAGGCCCCATGCATATGGCCTTACACATAGAAGCCATTAATAAATAGGTGGTGTTAGCCGACTAGCTGGCTTTCTGGCAGCCAGCCCACCCCAGCTGGTCCATCTTCACATGTAGGAGGGGCTTTCTCACTGCCTCAGCCCCTGTCCTGGTTCCAGATCTCTAGAAAGGCAGCCAGCCGCTGGTTCGCCCAACTGGCCCTTCAGCTCCATGTGTGTTGGAACACGCATGTCCATGACATTGCGTCTTTGTGTCAAACGGGTCCTATGAGTTTGTCTGGTTTGTCTAGCTCCAGTGCTATCGCTGTCTGGCCTCTGAGGAGGAGCCTCTCCTAACACAAGTCCTGGCTCAAGACACTCAAAGGCAAGTTCAGAAGGAAAGGACTTTTTTTTTTTAGGGGAAACACGGAAGCCCTGGCACTGGGGGTACCCGACCCAGACTCTACATCTGTGCAGGTGTGCAACTTTTATATACCACAAAAATGGGAATCAACAGCCAGCCAAGGTGCATTCTGGGGAGCAACTAGGGTTGAAGTCAGTTCCCAGAATTGGAATCTTCCTTCCCAACTCACAATTGCCTAAAGTAAGGATGTGATCCCAAGGGTTAGACTCAGTTCTTAGACCCAGGTGGACATACAGGTGTGAGGAAAATGTATATATATGCATGTGTATACACACACACACACACACACACACACACACACACACACACACACAGAGAACCCAATCACCAAGCTTGACTTAACCAATATATCGCTATCTGCCCACTCTTCCCTGAAGGAAGCTCGCAGACTACAATTAGCCTTCTCAGCCACTTCAGGCTTAAGCCATGGGGCCCACATCTTAGCTCTGCCCTTTATCTTCCTATAGACTCAAGAGTGCCTGTTTTGTTTTGCTTTGTTTTGTTTTTCCCACCAGGAATCTCTAGACAGAGGACAAAGCCACGGTCTCCCTTCTCTCCCTCCTACTGCTACTGCGAACCCTGGTTTCCCATCTAACTGATATTACGTAAAGGCTAGAAGCAGACAGGTGCGTGTGGGAGGCTCTCCCCCTTTCCCTCTCTTGCCCACTTTGTTGTCTGGGTCGCAGGGAGGAGGGCAGCTGGCAGGGAAAAGTCAGTACTGATGTCAGAGGAATGGAGGCTGAGAAAGACAGGGAAAGTAGGAGACAGCCTGTGGCAGGCCTGATTCAGGGCACAGAGCAGACCTGGGAGGCCTGGCTTGAGAGGCTCCACATTCCTGAGACAGGTGCGCGTCTACCTATGATTCAGCCTCCCCAGGGTTGCCAAAGATCTCACTGGCTGGGGACATGGAGTTAAGCAGGGAAAACCTAACAGAAATAATAACAACAACACCAATAAAAAGCCTGCAGTTGGGGGGGGGGTGTAGCTCAGTGGTAGAGCAACTGAGTTCGATTCCAGCACTGTCTGTAATTGAGTGTGAGCAGAACACTCAGTGACTTTATCCAGTTTGAACTTAGCCTGTTTCCTTATTATTCTGCGTTGTTGGTTGACTCTTTTACACACAAACACACACACACACACACACACACACACACACACACACACACACACACACACACGTGTATACAGACACACAGCTCCGAGATGCTCTGCCACTGTACCTTCATGGATGGCAATGATGTGGGGGTGGTTGAGTGACGACATGATTTCAATCTCTCGCCGTATGTGCAGTAAATCTTGCTCATCCTTAATTTTGTCTTTCCTGATTGACTTGATGGCCACCTGGGAGGAAAGAATGCAGGAGATTGAGGAGAAAGGTCTTCAGTGGCCCGTCCAGAAGAGGCTGCCAGGACTGCCCTGAGGCTTTGCCTGTGACTGCTATACAGACCCAAGAATACCTTCAGAAGTTATCCCACTCTTCAACAGGGTAGGTAGCAGAGAGGCTTCTAGAAAAGGTTCTCAGTGGGGAGTGGGGAGTCGGGTGGGGCTGCTGCAGCCCAGCCACCAATAGCCTTCTGATTCAGAGTCTACAGATGACTGAGGACGGTAACAATCTATATCAGTAAGGCTGATTCCTTAAGATTTACAAAGCAAATCTCCTGTAGTGTGCCGTGAGGACACGTTGAGGGGCCTGTTCTGTTCACCACTGGAATCTTGATTGCAGGTAGTGCCTGGCACAGAGTGGGCAGGCATTAATTAGTAAATGGTCTTTACAACAACTCTGAGAAGTAAGCACAGAAGTGGCATCGCCATCTTCATTTATAGATGAGAAAAACAGGACCCCGAGACCCAGTGCTCTGCTCAAAGCTTCAGTCATTCACTGCCACAAGCTGGCCATCTGATTCCGAGCTCATTCCTTGTTCTGCCCCAGTACTGTAAATTACATTGCTACAGATTAAACAAGCTAAATGTCCATCACTAGATGGATGGATGAAGTACGGTATACTTATACAATGAATTATTATTTGATCATGAAAAGGAATGAAATCCTGACACCTGTTATGACTGAACTTTAAGAATACTCTGCTCAGTGAAATAAGCCAAGTCACAAGAGGTCAATGTGTGATCCACTTTTATGAGGTACCTATGACAGGCAAATAAATATAGAAACAGAAAGTAAACAGAGGTTGCCAGGCCACAAAGTCCGAGAGTGGAATGGTATGTTATTATTTAATGGGTACCAAAACTTCTGTTTGGGAATGACAAAAAAAAATAGAAATAGACAGTGGTTGATGACTTATAGTATTGTAGATTACTTAATTGTAGATGTACTGAATTATCCACATAAGTTTGGGCACCGGTGGCTCACAGCTGTAATTCTAGCTACTCAAGAGGCTAAGATCTGAGGATCACAGTTTGAAGCCAGCCAGGAGACTCTTATCTCCAGTTAACCATCAAAAAGCCAGAAGCAGAGCTGTGGCTTCAGTGGCAGAGTACGACCTTTGCACAAAAGTGCCCAGGCCCTGTGTTCAAGCTCAGGACTGGCACACACATACAGACAAAGGTAAATTTTATGTATTTTTTTTTATTACAATAAAAAAATCACCAAGAAATGAAGAAAACAAAACCATGGATCTGCAGTGTGTAGTTCAGGTGAGGAATGTCCCTTGCCTAGCAACAAGCAAACAAACAACAAGACAGTTACATAGTCCTCTGAGGCTGCTATCTTCATCTTCAGCAAGGTGAAAATACCATATAAGGGCAACACCCCTCCCCACACTGGCTGGTGTCAGTGGTGGGTTCAGGAAGTAGGGAGGGAAGGAGGAAATGGAGAAGGAACTCAAAGCCCAGCTTTTAGAGACTGAGGAGCCTGCCTGGGTCTGGCTCTGCTCCTGGACAAGGCACAGGCCACAGTGACTAAAGAGAAGACGGGCTGGAAGCATTGAGTAGGGGTGTAGAGGGTAGGGGTGGGGAGGGAGAGCCCATGAGGGGGCCCCACCCCTGAGTCTCAGTTTTCTTTTCTTGTAAGTAAATAAGTTGAATGGAGTTGTCGGAGGGGTTTTCCTGATGGAGGGGTTTTCCTGATCAGATTCTATGTCGTGAGCTGTACAAATGCCACAGGGCCCTCAGAGGCTGAGGACCTGCTGGGGTGGGGTGGGGAGGGAGGAGGGAGACTTGCTAGATGGGGACAGGGCAGGGTGGGCGGGGCATCCCATTCTGGTCAGTTCCTGGCAAGTCCTGTCCAAGGACTAGCATGGTAAACACAAAGACTTCCTCTTCACAGAGCACAGGCAAGTGATGAGAACTCTGAGGGCTGAGGTAAACAGCGCCTCACTCCATTTCCCAGGGGGCTGGCCGCCCTCAAGATTCAAAAGGAGCCAGAGGAGGAGAAGGAAGCCCCTGCTCCAGGGGAGGGGCCTCTAATCTACCCTTTCACAGGCTCTGAAAGCAGACAATGGCTTCCGGCTTGGCTCACAGGGACAGCAGGCCTATGTCCCCCTGGTAGGACAAGAATGTGGAATGGCCCTAATCCTGTAGAGGAGCTGCTCACAATGCCTTGGGCACGGTCACCCAGGCAACGGGCCAGCCATGAGGTGCCCTCTACCCTGTTCCTCCCCTGAAGCTGCGGCAGCTGAAAGAGGGCAGGCCCCCACTCCAGCCATCCCAGAGCAGAACAGGAAGGACAATGGCGGGTGGGAGGCAGGGTCACCATGGAGCCTCCTCCCAGAGATGCTAGAGAGGCCCACTCTGCAGCTGCAGGGCCTGGGTGGCTGGCTGGCCTGCTCCTACCCACCCATCTTTCCCCCACACTTGTTGAGCAGAATAAAAATCCCTGGGTCTGAAGCCGGGGGTAGGAGTTAAAGGCTGTGAATTCTCCTCCAATCAGGAGGCACCATTCTCTTCTGGATGCAACCCAGAGTATCATTCCCACACTGCTCTTTCTCCACACCCCTTTTCTCTCCTGGAAGGGAGGACTAAATGAGCTAGTTCTTTTCTGTCTTTGTTTCTAAAATCAATGGGTAACATGCTGTGAATTGTTCAGATACAAAGAGCCATAAAAAGTGTATGAGCAGACAGTAAAAAGCAATCATACAGAAACATGCATCACTCTTTAGACAAGGAAAAATACTTGAGAGTTTACAATGCACACATATGCAGAGACTAGGCCCATCTTAGATGTATAGTTAGGTCCACACAAGCAAATAGGATAGTGAAATTATCACAGAGTTCTAAAGACATGAAGGCCTACATGACAAATTCCAAAAAGAATTTTGGGGTGCCAGGAAGAATGTTATGTTGCTAGAAGGTACACAGTGAATCCTGAGATCCATATCTTTCAATCTTAAAAGCCTATAATTTGTGTGTATATATATGTGTGTGTGGTGTTGAGGATCAAACCCAGGGCCTCACACATGCTAGGCCAAGGGTGCTTTATACATAACCCACTGCCCTGGAAGTCAGAAGTGTTCATCCCTGATGAGTAGTTCATCTACCTGCAAGTTGAGCTTTCCTACTCAGAAGTGGGGGTAAAGGAGCCCAGTTATTAACAAGAGGACCCAGGAAATCACTGCTTGGCTAGTTCACTTACTTCCTTTCTCAATAAGGAAGCAAGATCTATCACCAGGCCTCCATAGGTTAAGCAGGTAACAGACAAAAAGTATACTACCTCCCCAATGGGGCTGGGCTACCAGTTCCAGCCTTTCCTGGGCTGAAGCACAGGCTTCTCCCTAGCTTTGACAAAGTAGAGTCAGCACCACCACAGGCCCAGACACAGCTCAGCAGACAGGAAGCATTAACAACTGTTTGCTAGCAAACACATACCACAAATAAATATTTATTGCTTTGTTCTGAGGTGGACCTTTGGTTAATGGAACCTCTGCACAGATAAAATTTTCTTCCCTTCTTCCCAGGCCTGGGTGGAGTCCATCTTTGTTACAAGAACTAATTTTTACAGACCTTTGTTCTCATCTGCAAAGTAGTTAGCAATTATGCTCTAGAATAACATTAAGCTGACTAAGCCAGATGCTGGTGGCTCACGCCTGTAATCATAGTTACTCAGGAGGTTGAGATCTGAGGATTGTGGTTCAAGGCCAGCCCAGGCAGGAAAGTCTGTGAAACTTTTTTTTTTTTTTGGTCCGCTGTGAGGCTTGAACTCTAGGCCTGGGCGCTGTCCCTGCGCTCTTCAGCTCAAGGCGAGTGCTCTACTGCTTGAGCCACAGCGCCACTGGTTTTCTAGTGGTTTATTGGAGATAAGAGTCTCACAGACTTTCCTGCCTGGGCTGGCTTTGAACCTCAATCTTCAGATCTCAGCCTCCTGAGTAGCTAGGATTACAGGCATGAGCCACCGGTGCCCGGGTAGGTCTGTGAAACGCTTATCTCCAAATAACCACCAGAAAACAGGGAGTGGAGTTGTGGCTCAAAGTGGGAGAACACTAGTTTTGAGCAAGAGAGCGCAGGGACAGCACCTAGGTCTTGAGTTTAAGCCCCAGGACCGACAAAAATAAGCTGAATGAGAAACCAAAGAAGGAACCAACTACTATCCAGGTCACTCAGAGGCCACACACCCAAACTATAGTTCTGGTTTGTCCTGATACAATTAGTTATATTACCCTTCCTAGTCTCCAAATCACCCAAGCTTATGCAGTAGTTTATATAGCCTCCACTCTCAGATCGGAGGAGGAAGAACAGTCAGTTGGTGAAAATATGAATATGAGCACCTGGCCAGTGGACTGGGCCACCAGATCTTAGGAATGATCTAATTTTTATTTGCTCCTATCAGCTTGTATAAGTCAAGGCAGTCGCTTGAAGAATGATCTGCTCAAGGGAGCTAGCTAGTTTTAATCAGAATCATCTAAAGAATCAACATACATTGATTCTCCAAACAATCTTCCAAACGGCTACATGTGCCAAAACTTACTATGTGTTTGACACTGTGCTAGGGATCGGGGATTCAGACAAATACTGGAAGTTGCTGTGTGCTGGTGTAGTCCGGTAGGAGCACTGGCAGTCAAATCCATTCCATTCTGCCATGATGAAGTGGCAGCTGAGGCCTCTGCCTGCCAGAGGCCTCCAGGAGCACTGGAGAAACCGGGGAGTTACCTTGGGAGAAAAGGATAAGGGAGCTTTGCCAAGCCAAGGGAGGTGGGCTAGGGAGGGGCAGCCAGAGCATTCAGGGAAGAAAAAAATCCACCTGTCAGGGTGATCTCCAGCTTTTTTAAGCTGAGCTTCTTAGGAAACGGGCTACCTGCTGCTATGCTAGCCAAGGATTGCTGCAAGGCTTTCTATGGGGGACTAATTTCTGCCAGACAGTATTTTGGCTGCTACTATCGCAGTGATTTTCTTGTCTCTGGATCCCTACAAGCTGGAAAGGCAGCTGGGCTAAGCTCCGGATCCCATTTTGCAAACAGTGAACAATGATGTCCAGACAGGAACAATGACTTTTCCAAGGCTCCTCAATGCATCAAGAGACAGAATCAGGATCTGAGACAGAAGGGTGTGGCCTGAAGAAGCTACCATCTCAGAAGACAAAAGTTCCTTGGAGGTGTCCAGCCCTGCCTCCCATCCCTGGAGCAGGGAGTGCCCAGGGATGATTGCCCCGGGCCACCCCATCCCACTTACAGATATACAAACATGCTCGGCTCCTTTGCCAACACATTGGGGAGGTAGTGCGGGGGCTCCACTGGTAAACACCACCTCCATCCTAGAACTCTGACCAGGAAAGATCTACATTCAGAAAAGGGTGGTAGAAAAGTCGTAGGAAAAGAGGAGGAGGAAGAGGCAGAAGACGACAATGATGATGACAAAGACAACTTGGACATGCTGCTTATAGGTGCTAGGAGAGGGTACACACTGGGCGTCTCCAGTCACAGCTATCACCCTGAGTTGGAGCCAAGATCCTTGACTCTTCTCTGGCCTTTCACGTAGCAGCCGCTGTCTGGGAGGCAGGCAAGGAGCTGGAGGATGACCCACTTAGATAGAGTGGAGGGAAGGCTGAGCTCAGCTGGACAGGACTGAATAGAGTAAGAAACCAGGTAAGAAAGAGCCAGAGAACCAGATAGGAAGCAGGGATGGGCTGTGAGAGGGAACCTGACTACCTCCCCAAAGTTCCCCCCTAAGCAACCCCCTTCTTGTCACTGTCCAGGCTACTAGGCCCAGTTGCTGGGCAAGAGCTTCCCTGCCTAGCCCTCCTGTGTGGTTTGGCTGGAGCCCAAGGACAAGAGTCGCCTGCAGCCTCCCTCCCTGCTGCTGCTGAGCAGGCAGGTGCAGGCGGAGCTGGGAGGGCAGCTTCTGCCCAACACGCCTTTGGCAGCTGGCCAGCAGGAGCCCTTCTCTGAAGTCAACCAGGGGAGAAGCTAGGCTTTGAACCAAGCAGACCCCACAGTGGCTTGTCTCAAGGAAAGTTAAGTACAATCCATAGTCCTTCTTGGGACCCAGGACACAGGAGATCACAGCAAAGGGATGGTAAGACTTGGCCAAACCCACACTTGTTCAGACAATAACACTGTGTGTGTGTGTGTCAGATGCTATGCTGTGCAAATCACATCTATTCTCTTATTTAATCTCACTTAACAGGCAAGGAAACTGAGATGCACAGAGGTGGTGGAAACCACGACTCTGCATGACTTTTGCAGTCATGGTTCTGAGCAAGGCAGCCTCCTGGACAGAGCTTGAAAGCTGGGGATGTAATAGAGTCCTTTCATCCAGGAATCCCCAATGCAGTCAAGTAGGTGGGGGTGGGGTGGCTCCTAGTGACTTTTCCCACCCTCAGCACTGCCTGGAGCACTGGGAAAGGCTGGCAGCTCTGATGCTGGCATGACAGAGCACACCGATGCAAGCCCAGGCTCCTCTCAAAGCCAATTTCCAGACCAAGACTCAGCACTTGGTCATCCAGAGCCTGGGTGGACAGTCTAGGGCTTCTGCTTTAGGCCTGCTACTAACCAGCCAGAGGGCAAGTCACTTCTCCTCACTGAGTCGCAGTTCCCCCAGCTGGCAATGCAGGAAGTAGATTAGCGCAGTCGTGTTCAAGTTCACTTGGCAATCCAATATATGAAAGAGTCAGAAGAATCTCTACCTCACAGCGCTACTCATCTGGACTTCCACACAGATCAGGCCAAAGGCTTTAGTGAGTTCAGTCATTCTAGAGCTCCCCAGCATGTGTTTTTCTCTTTAGGGGGAGGGGTGGTCAAGAGAGCAGGGAGAATCACAGGAGGAAATGTCATTTGGATACCAGGAATGTGTCCAAGGGCCAGAGCAAATGTTTATTTTTCCTCTGATGCCCTCCTGGAGCAGCCATTAAACCACCTACTTGCCCCTCCCTCCAGACAAGACCATCTGGCCCCTCTAAACCCATCTAGGCAGGCTGGGAGTAGAAAAGGTACTGGAAAGGTGGAAAGAGATTGGGGATGGAAGTTACCCAGTAGGTATTCCTGGGTATCTAGCCTCTGTCATCCATTTGAGGAAGGTCTGTGGCAGACCCTGTGCCCCTCTCTCTCACTGATATATCTTGAGGTATCAGATCTCTCTCTCTTCAGGGAGGACAGTCCAGATGTGGGTGGATGGGTGGGGATGACAGTAATGCTCCAGAATTAAGAAATCATTAGCACAGTGCAATTCTGCTCTCCAAGACCCTGCGCAAGTTCCCAACAGAAGTACTGGGTGGTCTATGGATCTGGAAGGTTCAGAGCAGGTCCCACGCCTAAGTGATCTTGGCTCCCTACACACAGGAAGAGGCAGGAAGGAAGCCGTAGAGTTTTTTGTTTTTTTCTGAATTCTCTGTCCAATGTAATAAGAGCTACAATCCCTGTCTAAAGTCACTGAGGTTTGAAAACTGAAAGCTGATTTATCGTACTCTGAAATCAAATAACCCCTTTCTCTTTCTCTCTCTCTCTCTCTCTCTCTCTCTCTCTCTCCTCACACACACACACACCCCTCACAGTGACCTCAGCCAACAGCCTGATGGAATCTCTGAACTTTGATCTTAGTTTCTCAGTTTAAGCCACCTTGGTCTCCACAGTCCAGTCTTCCTCCCCAATGAGAGGCCCGGGCACAAGCCAAGAGCAACTGTTTTCCAGTTAAGTCCCTGATAAAGCCTCGGCCCAGTAGTCTCAAGTCTAGAGCCTTACCAGGCCCTTGCACTTTATAGAAAGAGAAAGAAAAGGAAAGCCAGGAAGTACCTAATTGCCCAATAGCTGTAACCTGGCAGCAGGCAACTGGGGACTGTGCCAGGCGTTAGCAGGAAAAACATACTCGGTCCTATTGATGGGGCCATAATCCACCCCTTTCTCCATCTACTTGCCTTTACCAATGAAACGACTTATTGAATTTCAAACTAGCTACTGGCTGTAAAAGCAAACAGTTTGGAGAAGGAAGCTTTGCAATTGCCAACAGGGCAAACCATAGCCATACGTGTGTGCATGCACACACACACCTACCTCACAAACAGCACACATACACAACACCCCTACCTTACAACCAGTAACTCAACTCGATTTGGCAAAACATAATCCCTATACCACCTGCTCTAAAAGGCTTGTTTAAAATGTGAATTATAGGCCTTCAAAATAAATTCCCCTAGTGTGGAACCACAGAAGTCAGCTCCTCAGCTAATTCCTATATACACTAGACTCAAGTTTGAGAACCACTGTTAACCACTCTCAGCAAACTTTTGGAAAACTTGCCATCTTTTAGGGCTGGCCTTTTCAGACATAGATAAAGTTCTCACAGCAAGTTCCATATCAAGACCAATTTAAGTTCACATTTATATCTTACAATCTTCCTAGCAGCTTTGTGAGGCAGGTTGTGTTTTCTCCATTTTTGCAGAAGAGGAAACTGAGAAAACAGAAACAAAGGAATTTTCTCAATGTTACAGATTACTATGACTAATATATACACACTAAGCCAACAGGGTAAGCTCCTGAAAAGACCCTGGAACCTAAAGTTTTCTTCAGTCCAATAGACCTAGCACCACAGACTGGTTTTTTTTTCCCTTTTCCTTCCTTCCTTCCTTCCTTTTTCTTTTTTGCCAGTGCCTAGGCACTGTCCCTGGGCCTCCCTGCGCTCAAGGCTAGCACTCTACCATGAGCCTACAGTGCCACTTCCGGCTTTTTCTGTTTATGTGGTACTGAGGAATCAAACTCAGGGATTCATGCATGCTAGGCAAGCACTCTACCACTAAGCCACATTCCCAGCCACAGACTGGTTTTACATTGCCCCAAATAGGCACAGCATAGTGAAATTGTGACTCAACTCAGTGCTGGCAAGGACCTCAGTGTCAAACCCACCTTAGTGGAGATGCCTACATCTCCATAGTGTGCTGGACCACCAGAGAGTAAGGAGTTGAAAAATCTCCACACCTCACCTATCTGTTCAGCCACATATCAGGTCCCTGCTAAGACTGGGTGCCTTCATCCTCTTCCCATCCATCCATCCACCCATCCATCCATCTGTTCAACCCATACATCCGATCAACCCCCTTAAGATCAGGAGCCTTCTCTGTTCATTCTCCCCACCCATCCATCCACCCATCCATCCAGCACCTACATTTGACCAAATCCCTCCTCCCACCCTAGCTAAAACCAGATGCCTTCTCTGGCTTCTCCCCATCCATCCATCCATCCATCCATCCGCTCAACATTTTTTTTTTTTTTTGTCAGTCGTGGGGCCTGAACTCCAGGCCTGGGAGCTGTCCCTCAGCTCTTCAGCTCAAGGCTAGCGCTCTACCACTTGAGCCACAGCGCCACTTCTGGCTTTTTTCTTTTTGCTTATGTGATGCTGAGGAATCGAACCCGGGGCCTCATGCATGCAAGGCAAGCGCTCTACCACTGAGCCACCTTCCCAGCCCCCCCGCTCAACATTTTTATCAAAACCTCTGCTAAGATCAGGCGCCTTCGCTGTCCTCTCTGCGTCCATCCAAGTAACGTCCATCTACTTACGTCTGTTCCCAAGCAAACTTGAACCTCAGCCCCATCTTCTCTAAGGGCTGGGGTGGCTGGGCTCGCAGGCCTCGGAACGTCGTCCCCTCAATCACAGACCCCCCCCATTCCTCCCCTCAACCGTGGACCCCGCCTTCCACCCCCACGACGCCCGCCCGACCCCCGCCGACGGCCGAGCACTCACCAGGCGCCCCGAGCCCTCGCGCGCCTTCTTCACCTTGCCGTAGGCGCCCTTGCCCAGGGTCTCCAGGAACTCGTAGCGGTGCCGCAGGTTGTGCTTGTGGTGGTGCCGCTTCACCGCCTGCTTCTTCATCAGGGGCTTGGGCGACTTGAGGAGCCCCTCCGCCAGCGGCCGGCCGGGCTCGGCGGCCAGGGGGACGCCGGCGGCCGCGGGAGCCAGGCCCGGGCGCCGGGAGAACACCAACGCCTCCATGGCCGGGAAGAGATGAGGGAGGGCGGAGCGGGGTCTGTGGGCTGCACGGGGAGAGCTGGAGCCCGCCGAGCCCGCCGAGCCCGCGACACACGCCCCGCGCCCGGGCTGGAAAGTCTCAGCCGCACCGGAGCGCGCAGCGAAGTGCCGCATCCCGGTTGTTATAAACGCTCAGAGCCGGATTTCCCTGGACACACCCCCAAGACGCCTATTGGTTGACTCTCCGGCAGCGCCGGACCAGAGTCGTCCTCATTGGTTCATCCGAGCCTCGGTCCCGCCTCCTCCTCTTGGCGTAGCCGGGAAAGGTGTGAGAGGAGCCCCGCCCACCTAGGCCCCCGAATGGAGGTGGCTGGGGGCGGGCGGGGGGTGGGGGAGGGGGGCGGAGAATGGGGAGGGTGGGGAGTGGGGAGGGAGGAGGGAGGAGTGGGGTTGGTTCTACTCCAGCTTTGAGGCTCTCCGAACCTTAGAACCACCTGTCTTTATTGTGCTGTGCTCTCAGTTGGCAATCTGAGTGCCCTACACCGAAGTGTTTCTCCATACCGAGTAAACTGGCTTCTCTCAAGACAGAAGCTGTTAAAGGTCATCTGATTCCTCCCCCACCCCTTCCCTCTCTGTATTGGAGATACTGAGACTCGAACTCCGGACCTTGCCCTTGCTAGTCAGGGGTTCTACCATTCTGAACTTTATTTTTCAGATAGGAATCTCATGTTTTTTGTTTTTTGTTGTTTTTTTGCTCAGGCTGGCCACAACTTGATCTGGCCACTCCTGATCTCCATCTCCTGAGTAGCTGGGATCATAGGCATACAATACACCACTATGTTCAGCTATTTCATTATATATATTTTTTACATCCATAAAGAAGAAAGGGGGATGGAATGGGATGGAGGCCAACTCCAACCAAGGGTGGGAGCTGATGAAGAGCTGCTCTGGAGCCAAATGGTATATAAAGTCGTTGCTTCAGTAAGTGTGGTGGCTCACACATATAATCCTAGCTACTCAAGAGGTTGAGATCTGGAGGATCACAGTTTGCAGCCAGCCCAGGAAGAAAAGACTGTAAGACTCCATCTCCAACTAACCTGGGCTAGAGATCTTGACTCAAGTGGTAGAGTTTCAATCCCCAACAACACTCAATAATAACAACAACAAGTTAAAAGTCCTTACCATTTCTCTGGAGACAACTTTTAGGGTGGAAGGAATCTCCCTCAAGTTGTGATAGAATTTATGGAGTTGTATTCATTAATTAAAAAAAAAGCCAGGGGGCAATGGTTCATGCCTATAATCTTAGCTACTCAAGAGGTTAGGAGCTGAGGATCCCTGTTTGAAGCCACCCTAGTCCATAAGACTCTTATTTCCAATTAGCCAGCAAGAAGCCAGAAGTGGAGCTGTAGTTTAATTGGTAGAGCTGCAGCCTTAAGTGAAAAATCTAAGGGACAGTGCACAGGCCCTGAGTTCAAGCCTCAGTATCAGCACCAAAAAAAATGTACATATGAATATATTATATATTGTACATATTATATGTATGTACACACATATCATTCTTATTTAGTGACTCTGTGTTGCTAAATCTGTAATTCGCTGTCCTATCCAAAGTTTTCTTCTCTGTGGTTTTAGAGCAGGAAGACTAATGGTAGGGTTGGCTTGGTTTTTGTCTATCTAGGTCTAGAATCCCCGTGACATAAGAATATCCATAGGCTTTCCTCCTCCTTCTATTGAAGGGAAAGGAACATTTCCTGATAACATTTCCTTGATAACTCAGTTTTGTAAGGTGAATATTTTTGTGCTCACCACATAAGTGGTGAGAAGGCATTAGAACTAGGGCTCAGTCCCTGGTCTGTGGGGAGGAAAATGGAGGACATCAGGCCTTGATTTCTTCCCTGAAGGAAGCCTCTCTTTGCAAGCTATAGGGTCCTGGCTGGAGTCCATCTAAACAGAGCAGACAGCCTTTCCCCCTAGCAAGACCTAGACTCCCAACTGATCAATTTGGATTTAGTGTTTGTCCTTTGCCTACTTCTACTGACCGTGACTCTCTCTAGTGGCAATTGTGGAGATCGCAGTCCCTGCTTTGTGGCCAGAGAAGACCCATCTTATGTAGGAAACCAGCTTCTGTTCTGCAAATCTGGACAGCCCGCAGAAGGTGGCAGCTAGTTTGGCTTTCTTCTCTCTACCAGCCTCCACTTTTGCTCAGAGTAATGTGGGAAAATTTAATGGAGCCCAGGAGACAGTTCCTCTGACCTGCATTTTACCCCAGCCCCCAAGATCGGTGTCTATTTCTCAGAGTCTATCTGTCAGACAGGTGAGGACTCTGCAAAGTACAGGTATTACAGGAGCAGGCTGAGGGCTGAGTGCTGGGAGATCTGAATTCTAGTCCTGATGGACATGTGCTGGCCTGGGGCTATAATGACAAGGTGGCTATGGGATTTGCTTTCAAAGAATTCTCAGTCCAGTGAGAAGTAAATAGACCAATACTATAGAGATGTTGAGGTTGCCCTGGATGGCGGAAGGGCAGAAGGCCCTTGGATACAAGACAGAAAAGATCTCCCAGCCCAGACATTGGAGGATGCCCATCAGGGGATACATCTTGAAGACAGGCTGTTCAAATCTGAGATCCAAAGGATGTGCGGTGACTCGGTTGGATCAATGTTTCTTCATAAATTAGATAAAGAATTATACCAATTTGAGCCAGGCAGCTCAGGCCTGTAATTCTAACTACTCTGGAGACTGAGATCTGAGAATCTATGTTCAAAGCTAGCCAGACAAATCCTAGAGACTCTTATTTTCAATTAAGAACAAAAAGCTGAAAGTGAAGGTGTGGCTCAAGGGGTAGATTGACAATTTAGAGGGGAAAAAAAAGAACTTAGAGCGCACACATGCACAAGAATTACACAAATGAGTCCAAGATCCCCTTTCAGGCTTTATCTAAACTTCTGAGTGTTTCCAGGCAACACAAGCCCTACAGAGTATTTTTTTTTAAAAAAAAGTGCTCAGTAGATGTTTATGAGCTGAGGAAACCGATATGAAATGAAATGCAAAGACCAAGGTGAAAGTACCTACGGACCACATGGTAACTAATTACCAGCTCAGTTGGTGACGGCAGAGGGGACACATCTTCTGTAATTGCTTGGACCTTTCTCATCCCTATATTAGCCTCCTTGACTATAATCAGAACCCTCATTTAAAGGGCAAACCAAAGACCCCAGAGAAAAGAGATCTCCCTCATTCCAGGCCAGGTGCAGCCTGGTAATCCACAGGGACTCAGAGAGAGGACTTTAGTGATTGACAGGTCTGGGCTACTGTCTGTGCACAGCAGACAGCAGGGAAGACAAAGGAACAGACCCAGGGCAGGAAGACAATGGGACTCAGCACTCCCAATCCTTATCAGGAAACCTGGGTGGCAGGAGAATGACTGAGGGCTATTGTGGGATCTTGGGGAATTCCTGGGTCATGTGCTCAGATGTGAGGACATCCTTAGCTGTCTGAGCTGAGCTCAGTGTGGCAGTGTGGCAGTCTTGTCCACCACACCCTCCGGTCCTGGAAAGGGAAGGAGTATCCTCCTACCCCATGCCTCACCACGAATTAATATCCAACGGACTCTTGGGAAAATGCAGTTATAGGGCCTTCTGTGTGGTGTGTGTGTGTGTGTGGTGTGTGTGTGTGTGTGTGTTGGGGATGGATGGCAAGTCCAGGGTGGTAAAAGGGTATTTGAAAGCAGCTCGGAGTGAGCACGTGGCATGGCCTGTTGCATGTGGAGTGTGGGTGGGAGCATGGGTGAGGAGCAATGAGGGAGACCCCGCTGTGGGCGGGCACAAGGCGGGGGTCAGACGCGTGAAGAGTAGTCTTGCAGGGAAGAATGAGGATTCTTAGTACTTGGCTCTTAGGAAGTTTATTGCTTAACAAGGGAAATAAGAGAAGACAATTGACCAGCTAATCCAACAAAAAAGATGAGGGGACCTTGAAGGCAGCTGCAAAGTGCTCCCTGAGGCTGGAAGGATGGATGGATCTTCTGGCTTAGAAGCTTCTAATAGGGCTTTGTAGGGGGCCAGTTGGGCCTTGGTGTACGGTGTCATTTGAATTAGCCTTCAGAGATGAAATTTGTAATTGGGAGTGGGGGTGAGGGAAAGAGAGAGGGCACTCTCTCTTTCTGTATTTGAAGGCGCTAGATGGGGTGTCTCCAAGGACCTTAGAGTATCTCCAGCCTTGGACTGATCTCACATTGGGTGTTTGAGCCCCTCTCCCCTTTGCTCTGGGTAAGCCCAGCACATCACCTACCTCCAGCCTGAGACCTAAACCTCAGCCTTTCCCCAGAGCTCAGAGGACAGCTCTCTGGTCACTCTTCACACTCTGTGGTGGATAGCAGGCCCTCTCTCGGGGGCTCTGGGTAAGGGCCTGCCCGTTAGAGCTGGCCTTCCAAGACAAGAGGATATTATCTAGGGATATTTTCTTTAGCAAATTGTGATACCTGACTCACGGCTGCCCTCTTGTGACCAAACTAAGCAAATTTCATGGGACACCAGAGGCAGTGATCACACAGGGGTCAGCTTAGGCAATTCGATGAGCTACTCATTGTTGGTCATAGGCAATAGATATTGAACAACTTCAATAACAGTCATAATTATACCTAACATTTCTGATCCATCCCTGGTTTTATGCATCTTAGGTATCGCGTCACATCCAAGGCTAAGAAGCAGCAGAGCTAGGAGTTAAGCTCTTTCAGTTTAATGTTACAGTTTTTGCCCCTAACTGTTGCTTTGCCTTTTTTCGATAACCAAAATGAGCTTTAGAAATACACAATGGAGCCAGGTGCCGGTGGTTCCTACCTACAATCCTCACTATTCAGGAGGCTGATAGCTGAGGATCCTAGGTCAAAACCAGTCCGGGCAGGAAGATCCTATACTCTTATCTCCAATTAATCATCTATGGGAAGTAGTGCTGTGGATCAAAGTGGTAGACCATGAGCCATGAGCAAAAGAGCTCAGAGGCAGTGTCCAGGTGCTGAGTTCAAGCTTCATGACTGACAAAAAAGAAAAAGAGCTACACAATGGAACTAATGAACTATAAGCAAAATTAGTAAATTACATCTTAACAGGGCTTTGGAGAATTTTGTGCTGCAAACACCT